ATGTGTTATCTCAGGAGGCTAGAAAGATGCTAACACTTTTAGCAGTTCCTGAAATGTTACTTGTACACCTCTGGAAGTTCAGAGAAGCTCTCAATTTTGTTTCAAAACAATTTTTTGAAATTGGAATCGTGCTTGCCTTGTATAAAAGACATACAGGACATGTAGTGCCCTTACTGATGTTTGTTGCAGCATGTAACATCTAAACTTACAGGATTTCACATGAGCAGCAGCAGAAGGTAGTTTATTAAGACAGACTGAAAGTGCTTACCCTACTTTGATTTTTAATAGAATCACCAGTTAGGAAGTGGATCCAAACTGACTTTATCTTACAGTTTGATAGTTTTCCAATAGCTTTCAAGTTGGTATCAATAAACATTTTTTTTAGGAGTCTTTTTATCTTTCAGTGATTTTGGTCTTGGTGATGGTTTTAGTCTTGTTACTGGTGTTGAAAACTTTCTTTTAATTATGTATTTTTAAGAAGTCTGTGGATGAGATTAATTTTTAGAATCTTTACTCCATATTATCTGTAATCAAATGCTTTTTTTTCCAGCTCACTAATGTCTACTTGTATGATAAGGTACTGGGTTTGTTTTTAAATTAAAATAATGTATATGGCTTTGGGTAATTAAAAACATGTATTGAAATATGATGTTTTTAACTGTATCATGCTGGAATTGCACCTGCTGATCATGAAGCACTGAATTATACTCATTTGTCATGTAGAGTGTTGACTCAAACACAGGTGAGGTCAATTCAGATGACAGAGGTTGCTACAAAACCCAGCTGTTGACTCTGCTCCTCTTTCCACAAATTTTCTCTGCAGCAGGGATGGCTGACCCATGAAGCAATTCTAAAATCAGGCTACAAACTGGGGCAGTCTGTAAATTTAAATGCACTGGATTGGCAACTCTTAACACTTCAGGAGCAGTTTTCTGTGTAAATCATCAGTGCTAGTATAGTAGTGGCAGTCTTTGGAGAAGAGTGAATGCCTGGTAGGATGTTTAAGCTGCCTGTATTGGTTGGTAAATATTCTCTGCTTCTGATTCACAGCTAAGCTGAGGAAAAAAATCTTTGCAGTGATCTGCTAGCAGTCCGCAGAGTAGTTTTAGACAACTGCTGGCAAGATAACTTTTCTATGGCTCCAAACTATCCGTTTCAAACTAAGGCAATTTTATCCAAGAGCTTTGGTTGTTAATCACATCTGGAGAAAAGACAACAAGAACCATTAAAACAAATATTCTTCTTTGGCTTTTCCATTTCACTGGGGTTGAATGAAGACCAGTTCTTAATCATTTACCATTTTTGAAAAAGGTACTTGGTGAACACAGGAATAGGAGCCAAGAAATTTATTGGCCAGGGCTGATTCTGTTGAACAAATCGCTCTGGTGTTAAATGGGTAGCTATTCTAACAAGGCTACCAGTTAGGCTGCTTGGAAGGGAAGAAAGAAAATGGGCTTGGTTTGGGGTGGTGGTGTTGTTGGAAACACTGCCAATTTTTCTTGGTTTCCCTTCTTCCCCTTTTAGGATAATACCTTGCTGAGCTCACATGATAACTCTGAAGATTATGGACTTGGTTTAATTCTCACTACAGTCAAGAAAGCTAATATTGATAGCAGTAGGTGAGAGAGCATTATTCCAATAGGTTAGTGTCTAGAGTAACCTCAAATTGAGGCTTAGTTTTTATTTGTATTTAGATAACTACTGTGCAAACTTTACATTTTGGCCTTTGAAACAGAATTGTTTTCCCAAGAAGTGGTCCAAATAGCAGGACCTAATTCTGTTTTTGATTATGCCTTCATAGCCTTTCTTTGGAGTTAGAGAGGTAAAAATAGAATGCAGCTATCTTATATCTAATAAACTTTTGGACCAGATGCTTCTCTTGCCTTTTCCTCTCCTGTAGCAGGATTGAATTCCTTGCACTACAGCAGCAGTAAAGTCATTAGACTGCATTTAAAACAAAATGCAGAAAGGGACGACCTTTTGCTAGAACTCTGTATTGTTTGTATTGCTAAGCCTTATCACCATCTCTCAGCAAAAGCCAGTTTAATCCGTAAACATTTGTCCATATAGTATCTCTTTAGAATTGTCTATTGTTAGCTATCTGTGTTCTCATTGATTATAATGCTGTGCATCTCCACAATGCCTGCTGTTTGCCCCTTGGATCTTCACTGTACAGAGTAGCTGTTATCTTCCTTGCTGATAGCATATCACCAATGGTACCAGTTAAGAGCTGAAAACACTTCCAGCATAATGGAAAGTTCCACTTTTGCCAGGATGACTCACTAATTAATTAACCCCTGGGATGGAGAGGCTTCCTGTGCCAATGTAAGAAAAAGTTATGCAAGGATACTATTATATAGCAAAAGAAAAATTGATTGGAAGAGTTTTATCTGCCTTATAAGGCAATTATGTTTTTCTTATAAGAAGTATGTTTCCAAAACTATCAATCTACCTGAATCAAGCCTAGAAACTAACTGAAAAATAGACACTATGTAAAGGGTTGTTTCTCTGAGGTAATATCTTCCTTTGCTTTAGGAGAAAAAAGGCAACTGCTCTTAACACCACGAGAAGCGATCTGTTAACATTTGGGTATTTCAGACTTGACAACTGATGCTGAAATACCAAAATGCAGATATTTTTAACTTCTAGTGGTGCTGCTTCATTGATCTCTCCTCAGATGTACACATCTGCAGGGGTGACTTCTGCTTTTTACTCCGATGATTGGCTGTTCACGCCAAATACAAAAAGTTAAACAGGCTTGCTACGCGATTCTCTTTTTGACTTGTTAGCTCAGTCTGTCATCTGTGTAGGAGAAAAAAATGGGTGCTGAGCTATGACAAACTTTGTAACCATGTAGAGTAAGTTGGGGGCATGATGCAGGAAGGAGTATTGCTTTGAGATCAATGATGTGGTTGTATCCATGTTTCTTGTCAGAGGAGTTATGCCACTAAAAGTGATTAGTTGGGGACTGTAGCAGCAATAAAGACAAAATTAAATCCTAAAAGTTCCTGTTTGCAGGTGGGAGGCAGGATGACACTGACAAGTAGTGCTTTTCTTTATTCCAACTTATTATGTGTTAACCTTGACTAGTGTGTATGTTTATTAATTGATGTGTGGACTCTTCTCATTTGCCATGACCTTTTGTTGGGCAAAATCTCTTTTTTCTTTTTTCTTTTTTTTTTTTTTTTTTTTCTTTCTTTCCCTAGTGGTTGTGGGGGTTTTTTGTTTGGTTTTGTTTGTTTTTTTTTTTTTTTTCTGTTTGGTTTTTTTTTTTTGTTTTTTTTTTTTTGGTTTTGTTTTTGTTTTTGTTTTTTTTTTAATAGAAGCTGTAAAAGCACTGTAGCATAGGGACAACACAGGCAACTTTTGTGTTAGAGACAGCAAGCAAAAAGAGAGGGATGAGGAAGGCTAATTTTGTTATGAAAATGTGCATGCTAAGTAGAATACAAGTTCAAACCATGTGTTTGCTTGGGAAAGTTTATGGTCTAAATTTGACATAGACTATAGCAAGCAACCAGAGAACTGCCATATGGAGGAATAGCAACTTTGTATTATTAAGATCATACAGTTAACAGCTTAGTTTATAAACTTCTACTGAGCAATGTCTGCAATTCAGCCGCAGAAAATGTGTACTTCATGGGGAGGCTTGAGTGAGAAAAGAATGGTGAGATGTTTTTGAGTAGACATTGCATGTGCAAAAGGGATAAGGTGGGAAAAGCTGCCTGTAACTGGGGGAGACATTTAAATACCGATGTAAACAAAACTATTTAAAAGATGAAATGACTGGTGGAACTGACTATATGAAATACTTACAACATCTCACAGAACAAATGACCAGTATAAGGAGGGTCAAAGTATCACTAACTTTTTGTTGTTTTTTTAAAAAAAATAAAAAATAAAATGGTAAATAATATAATTGTCATCTTCATTTTTTTTCACAGTGTAAATGTCAGCAACATTCTAGCATGTTGTGCTACACTGTTCTGTTCCAAATTAAAGTTTAAGTGTGAAAACTGAAATAAGGCAGAATTCAAGCTCTGTTGTTTCTCAAAGAAACAAGATGCTATCATGATACTCATGGCCTCTACTTCAATAGCTAGAAGTGTCTTCTGCAGACAACAGAGATCACTAGCAACTCGTAGTAGGGACCTACTCCCTCTTAGGAGACTGTAGCTGCCAAATCTCAGCCCTATTAGACACTATTCAAAGTCAGTCCACTTACCACCTTTGTCCTACAGCTGTAAGTGGCTGGTGCCCATTTGAGGGTGACCTGGAAAGCTTTATGGGAATAATTTAGCTATCCATACAGAAGAAGCTAATAAAAAGTATATTCAGCCTCCAAGCCTCTACAAGGATCCTTTCTGAATTGTGTGCTGGGTTTTTTGACATCAACTCTGTGATAAGCAGAGAATCGGCTCTGATAATGGCAGAAGATAGCAGACATTAAACAAGGAAATCTGAGGAGGTAAAAGGGGAAAGTAACAATCAGAAAGTTATTAGAGACTGTATGCCCAAAATAAAGAAGGGCCAGCTGCTTTTGTTTTATACAAAATAAGCCTCCCCTACCACTGCAGTAAAGCACAGGATGAACAATGAGAGTATCTTATGGGAGAGAGAATGATAAGGGAGAAAAAAATCATCAAGTGTACAGAAAGAAACCAATTAGTATCCTACAATCCTGCTCTTTTAAAAAAGTGTTGTATTTGGTTCTCTATGTGTCTGTGGAGGAGAAATTCTGAAATTCTGTATCATTTGAAGGAGCTGGGCAAAATGCTGTTGCTGTTGTGTCTCAGTACTTTGAGCAAAACATCAGTATTGATACTTTGACTATTTCATGTGGTGGCTCAAAGGTAACATTGTATTTGATAAGTTGCTGGGTCTTTACCAACTCTGCTTTTATTGTGTGTAAAAACACAAGCTATTTTTTCATTCACTTGGAATGTGTATGAACAGCCCTTTACCTGTGTAGAAAATAGTTACAAGTGCTTCTGTGTTCGCAGGTTTTGAATGCAGTCTGAGTTCAAGAAGTATGAAGAGGAGACACCTTCTCTGCATTGGGGGATGGATCCTGTATTTTCTGCATTTGCAAGACTCTATATTAAAGATATAAAAGAAATGAGAGAATCCAAACAAGTGCCAGGTACCTACTTCTATGTACTGCTTATGATGGACACAGAATTAGAATTGATTTATGTTGTGCTTTTTAGCAAGGGATTGTAGAATACTTCACAAACACTAGTAATTTTCCATGTCCCTAAGCTAACTGAGATTAGTATCTTTAACAGTTCTAAGAACAATAGGTTGTATGTGAAATATATGTGAAAAATATGTGTTCGTTATAATGGCTTTTCTTCCTCTCATATATAGATACAGAACCTCCTTTACCTTAAGGTAATGTTGTGTTTCCTCTGTGTGGTAGTATATTCTGATAAAGTTAATTCTAAAAATGCTGGTCCTTTCTGGCCATGTGTGTTATATCTTTCTGTCTCTATAACATTTGAGCAGGATTTTATGCCTCTTAGTTGCAAAATTATGACAGTTGATGACATTGCTGGGTGTATGTGTTTTGCTTTTTCCTCTGGATATTAATATACTATAAAACAGATACAGGATTTAAGGTTTAGTCTGCTTAATTTCTAGATATGTTATATTACAGTCTTCATACATTTGAGCAACCTTATTGTAAATTCTGGCATCTGTGCTGAATCTTATACCATGCTTTTTATTTCCTAACCACTGTTAGAAATTGTATGCTTTGCAGTCTTTTTCCTGCTGGTCTTCAGTCAACGTCACCCACACGTGAACATTGTCTAAAGCAACATGGGTCTGACCTTAAATTTCTGTTTTCACTATAAAGACTTTAAATAGACTGCTGTATGTGTTCTGCTGTAGAACGGTTCATTACTCCGAACTGAAGCTTAACAATGCTCAAGATTATCATGGAGGAACCAGAGGAATTTAGAATTAATGAGGAAAAGCAGTAAACCCTAAGCAGAGCGTGTGGTTTTGGTTTGGTTTTGGTGTTTTATTTGGGTGTTCTCTTTTTTCTCCACAAAGACAAGGTTCATCTCTTTGGCTCTTTGAATATGTTCTGCCTTGCAGGTTTTGTTATTATTTTTCTTTAACAGCAAGGATAACAACAGTTTACAGAAAAGATTACAGAAATGAAGGACTGGTGGACTTTTTTGCTTTTTTTTTTTTTTTTTAGTTGCAACCATTTTTATGCATGTAGGGACTTCACAAACTGCAAAACCTAGTATGTATACCTCTGTCATTTGACATATTGGGAGACTTTTATCTTAAATCCATTGTTGCAAGAATTAGGCTTCAGTCTGTTGTTGATGTTTCTACTTGAGTGAGTAGTCTTTAGAGGCCTTTTTATAGTGTGTGGTCTTATAGTAGTACTGGTATAGCAAATGTAGCTGGTAAAAACTGTTCCAGCTTCAATTAGAGACCATTTGATTGTTTGCAAACAAAATACAAAACAATTCAATGTCAGCAGAATAGGATTGTAGTGTGGACTTGGACATTAGTACATACATGTGCAAAAATGTATTCAGAACTTATAAACATCAACAAACATTTCACAAGATCAGGAACAGTCCTAGGAAGTACAATCCTACGCTCTTTTTGTCACATCTAAATTACCTGAGTTTCCCTACTCACTTCACTTCCTGTTCTTTTACTTAAGTGAGTTCTCTTCCACTTCCGGAACTCTTTCAGTTCTGTTATTTCTTTTTTAACTATGATGATGTTAAGGAAGTGGTATCTGCCATGTCAAGATATCAGCCTTTAAAGTTGGTGCACGAGAGCTTTCTCTACTTCCTGTGCATCTGGCATTTTGCACAACTAAGCTTGCTTGCAATCATGTATCATTTTCTAAACCAAACTTTAAAGAATAGAATGAAATTTCATAGAACCAACATCCTCAATTTTGTTTATTTTCCTGGTGCAGTGTATATACCAAACCAGAGATTTTTCAGCATATCTTATTTACTGGCAACAAATGATAGCACAACAGAAACCCCCCCAAAAAAAAAAAATTGGGGGGAAGGAAGAAGGTAGGTGCTTGCTGTCAATGTTTCCTGCCTTTAATGAGTTTGTTAAAGATCAGCTGAAGCAAAGTATATGATTGGCTATAAATCAGTCATTAAGTAATGGTAATTACGAATGAATGAGTGCAAAACAAAGAGTTGTAACTAGGAGGAATGGAAAGAAACACAGATGGAATATCAGGAAAAACATCCTTAGAATGGCATCTGCTAAACCATGGAGCAGCCTTCCCAGGAAAAAGGTGGGCTGCCCTTCACTGTGTTTGTTTATATTCTGACTGTACAGATTACCAGGAATTTACTGTACGGAACAGTCTTGCATTGGCCCTGAGGAAATGGACTGAATGACCTAATAAGTTCTTTCTTTCCATTTTTAAGCATTAGGATTTGATGCCACAATGACTAATCCCTTAAAACAACACAGAGGAAAACAGAGAACCTGGCCAATTACTCTCCTGCTATAAATGGTGACAAGAAGGCTGGAAAACCTCCCAGATAAAAACAGCAATTGTGTTGTCTTTGAGGCCTTGAAATGAGAGTGGGTGTCAAACTTGGTTGTAACACATAATCACATCATGGAAATGAGTTTTTCTCAGAGTTATCATGCACCACTTCATTGTGACAGCTTATCCACAAGCCAGGGAAGCTACAAATAGCATAAAAGGAGGTAATAATAATTAAAGCAATGACAAACAGCTCAGTGCTCAGTAATGCTGGTAAAGACATGACCAGAATTTGCCCTAGAAGAGGCCTGTATCTGTAGCCCCTATACTGCTGCTGTGGCTTCCTGTTGTGGTAAGAGCATATTAATGTATGTGTTATTTACTGGTTTACTGGGAACTTGACTGAATGTGCTTGCACATAGCTTCAGATGTTTAGTATATTTTTATTGCTTCCACTATGAACATAATTTGAACAAATAAGCTAGCAGAAGAAAATTTACACCTCGATGTTGTCAAGTTCAACAACTTTTAATAGTGTAAATATAATTCCAAGATGATTTCAGGTAATTTCTCAGAGGGTAAGGGTAGAGTTCTCTGTGAGTTCATGGGGATGGAGAGAACCAATTTTATCTGGTCTCTGTCATTTGCCAAAACTCAGCTTACTAACTGGGAAATGAACATGATAACATCATGCTTGTTGGCAACATATGAAGAGCTTGGAGTCTCTGCTCCGCACGCTTACCCAGAAACTGACCCAGACCTTCTTTTAATAGAGATCTTGTAAGGTTTAGTGAATAATTATGTATACTGGGACCATCTCAGTTGAGGGATTCTATAGCAGTGTTTATTGGTGTCCAGGTAAATGGAATGAGAGAAAAGTGGACAGACCTGCTAAACACTCTAATCTAGACCTGACCAGTTACTGCACAATTAGAATGGCCAGCTCACAGATGACAACAATAGACACATCCTCAAAACATTGCAGTGGATTTTTATGAGTAAAATGTCTGTTTATGAGCTGCTTGGCTGATCACCTGTAACTTGTCCTGAAACTTTGGGGTTTTTGTCTTTCTTAGATGAAGAAAGTTAATTCCAGGTTCATTTAAGGCTGCCAGCTATGTAGGACAAGTTATTTTTGGTTTTCAGTTTTGATTATTTTTTTGTATACAGAACATTTTTCTGACTCCCTTGCCTGCAGTGTTTCTCTTTCCCTTTGTAAGAATGAGACTTGCCACAGTGTATGGAGCCAAATGTTCCCTTTTGAGTCCCTTGAGTTATCTAGCTTTTAGAAGACAGTTATTGAACATCCCAGATGGCGTATTTCAGTAAGGCAGTGATATTTGAAAACTGAAGAAAACACACTGACTGAAAATTATTTAGCCCATGATATATCTGGAGCTTATTGCCCTATTATATTCCTGCTAGGGAACTCTGAAGCTTCAGTGTACAATGTTTACATCAGTGTTTGTTAACAACGTTTGTCACTCTTGAAAGGGATTACAGCATGTGGCAACCTCAGTGCTGTCAAAGTCCACTGGGCTCTGATCCCTCGCTGTTTTCTGGACATGTTTTTAGGTGTTATGATTATTCAAGACATCTTTATAGATGCACAAAAATAGCTTTGAAGGGATGTTTTTAGAACGTGTTATTTTAGAAACTGAAGCCCACGATGACTGCACAGTATACTCCACAGTCTGAGGGTTATTTCTCTGCCCCCACCCCCCGTGGCTTCTGTTCTTTTAGAAGTGAAAGACAGAATTATGTTAGTTTTCCTTTTGGAGGCTCCGCTTTAATCAGGAACAGCTGCATTGTGAGAAGCTCAAACTGCTTCCATTGTGTTCTATTATTTATTCTGAAGCCTGATGAAGATGTAAAAAAAAAAACCAAAACAAAACAACAAAAAACCACCCAAACAAAAAGAAAAACCCAAACCAAACAAAAAAATCCAAACCAAAACCAAGCCAAAATGAAGCAACAAAACAAACAAACGGAAAAACAACTTAAAAATCCTCTTAATGCCTATAGCAAACAAACTGGTTTTTGGATCCAAATGTGCAAGAAAACAAGATATTAATAAAGTTCTGACACTGTACAAAAGCAGGCTAAGTAAGAGGTAAGAGCTGATACTCCTTCCTTCTAATATTCCCAGTCCTCTCTGATCCAGGGGATTCTTCACAGGACTAGGCATTGTATAATTTAAGGTATATTAGATATGCAAGAAAGTATGATTTTTACTGACAAATATGACTATGTAGGGTGTTGAAATAAATAGTTACACTCATCAAGAATGTTCTGTGTCTAGGTATATTCTTTTATAACGGACATCCAGTAAGACAGGTGGATGTTGTGGGGATGGTAGTTCAAATGAAAGAGCGAGATGCCTTTTATAATTATGGAGGTAAGAGAAGTTTCTTTCTTTCTTTCTTACACTTATCAGCCTTCTAATCTTAGTTACTATTAGAACTTAAAGGTTGCCTTATTTGATCACTGTTCTTGAAACAACTGTGCTCTTATCCTAATATGTATATCTGCAGCTCAGATTACTTAGCAAATTTAGGGAAGCTACTGTTTATCTTCAAAAATAGAGAAACAAGTAGTTAAAACAGATTAACTGATTCATTTGAGGTCATCTAGCAAATCTTAATTTTGGTTATTGCTTTACCATAGGACTCCACCATTTTCCTCTCATATATATGTACGTGTATATATATATATAGATATATCTATATCTGCAGTTCTGGTCAGATATAAACAGATTTAACGGGGCCTGCAAATGGGAAGTCACTTTCTCTTTTTTGAACCTTAGAAATCCGTTCTGACTTCTTGTATGTTTTGTTGTATCTTGGAGCCAGCTTTTAAATAGCAGTCAGGAGCTTGTTTATATTTAGATGCTTAAGAGCGTTAGCAAATCTAACTCAGACATCATAGTACCAGTCCTTGCCAGCAGCAGCTGGGAGTTCTCCTCCCTATTGCTTCTCCCAATATTCAGACTATTTTATTAACATGGAAACATCTGATTGTAATTTTGTTCAGCTGTCTTTTTCATCTGGAGAAAAATCAGATGGGAATAGTGGTGATGTGGCAAGTTTCAGACAGGGGGGGAGGTCATCTCACAGTAGGAAGGGGAAGCCAAATGCATGGATCCTATCGAAGCACTTGAAGGACCCATGTCCAGTGTCTTCCTCTGCCATGGGTTTCCACCTAATGCAGGTAAGTCAGAGTGCCTCTTCTTACCCAATCCTCTCCCTTACAAAACTGAACCATCAGAAACTCCCTGACTCACAGGAGTATTGTGAAGATACAGCTGATAAATTAACCAGGTCCCAGCTTCCCCAGCACCTGCAGTTACATCATACTGCTGCAGAGCACCATTAACTGCTAGTGCATGTAGCATACCCCACGCTGGGTGTGGCTGCTTAGCGTTGACTCTGGTCTATACAAATGTCCCTGCAAGTTTCTTAGAGTGGATATTTCCTAATTTTTTTTTAAGTATGATTTCTGGATTTTCTTTTTAAGTCTGTTTCTGTCATTATACTAAATAACAAGTAGAGAATAAATATTTTGAAGCACAAGTTTCTCTGGCACTTGAAGCAGCACAGACTAAACAAGCACCTAAGAGGCAGAGATGCAGTTGATGATGTAATGAAGTGTTGAAAGATAAATTGAGCATCAGTTATTATTATTTTATTGCACTAGTATGCAAATGCAGTTATCACTTCATGAGAGGAGAGGAAGGCAGAGTCAAAATTACCAAGGCAAAACCAATTCTATGGGCAAGGGTTTCCCACACTGCTCTCAGCATTAGTTCAGATGTAAACTCATCAGAACTGCTTGATTGGGCAGAAAATGGAGGAATAGAAATAAAAAGAAGCTGCAGAGTAGTGGAATTAAGGCCTTAGTGTTAGATCAGCGAACCTTCAAGTACAGCTCTCAGTGAGCCTGGCTTCCTGCTGTCCTTTCACATCCAACTCCACTCTTTGTTCTAGCAGTTCCTGGTTTGAGCTTTCAGGCTACCTGCCAGGGTGCCCCTCCCCAGCCTGCCCTCCCTTTCAGGCAGGCTGACTCTGCCAGCATAAAATTGTAACTCCTTAGACAGTTTCCTGCTTCTTGCATCTCTCAGTTCAACAGTCTATGGTTGGTGAGTCACAGAGCAGCATTGCATCAGTTAGTGCTGCACACTGCTCAGTACTTGCTCACTTTCCATCTGCTTAACAGTGACTTACAAAGCAATTCCCCCTTTGTACTTTTTCTCTGATAGAGAACTGAAATGTCTTTGTGTCACTGCCACTATCTCTCCCCAACCATTTCCTATCTGTCTACTTCAGAATACACACTGCTCATTTTAAGAGAATCTTAGGTCCTCTTTGTGCTGGAAACCATACAGCCAGAACTGGTGACAAAATAATTGTAAAAGAGTGAATTGACTCTTTCCCAGCTTTAAGAAAATAATAATTGAAATTACAGGCTTTGTAAAACCTGATTTTAAAATTTTTATTTGATTGTTTATTGCTATTATTATGATCAGGTAGGAGAAGGATATCTAGTTAAAGTATACCTTTGAATAAGCTCGTGTTTTAGTTGAAGCACCTTTCTGACCTCTTTCCTTTTTAATAAAACCAAACATTTCATGTGGTTTTCCTTATACTCCTGAACTGTTTTGAAAGGCTGAAAGGCACTTGCCTTAAAAGCAAACAAAAAAAATATCACTGGGATCTCAGTAGGCTTACACAGGCCCTACCAGAACTGTACCCTTTTTGTTATAAAGACATAAAACTGAGCACAATTATCTCGTTTATCGGGTAGCTTTGAGAGTGCTACCCCTCAAATAGTTAATGTAAGAGTCAAAAAACCCCAAGCAAACAAAGCAAAACAGAAAACCCCCAAAAAAACAAATCCCTGAAAAAATAAACAAGTGAAGGTTTAAACTGGAGGAGATGGGGAAGGGTGGCACAGGGAGCACAGGAAGCTTTTAAAAGCTTGTAGACCCCTTGAGTGCATTTAAAATACATTGACATTCTTTTGTATAATTGGAATACAATTGCAAGAATTCTCACTCATCTGTGCTTCAGTAATTATTTGTCTTTTTGCTCAAATCTTTTATTTGTGAACTCGGAAAAGTTTGCTTCAGAGTTCTGCTCTGCTACTGGGTTCCCTGTGTGGTCAAGAACGGGTCACTTTCTCCAGGACCCCATATTCAGCTGTTGCATTGATGAGGAGGAGTATGGCCTCCTAATCATTCAGTCTTGTTTGTTTTGTTTCTAAGCCCTTCTTAAGAAGCCTATCTGTCACGGTGCAACAGTCACAAGCTGGAACATCTAGAAGCCACAGTAATGTAATAGTGAAATGTCATCTGCCCTGTTTCTTATTGCCATTGCTGGCTTGCATGAATGGCTTGGCATGATGTATGGGGGCTCTGACTCCTACTAAAATAGTTGGGTTTTGTCTATACCAAGGAGAGTAAATCCTACCAGATAGATCATTATCTATGCACTGGCACAAAATTAAAGCTGCTGAAGTAGTTGCAGACATAGCAGCTCAAAAGAGGGATAGCAATGAGATGAGCATACTTCTGTGATGGAATTTGGAATTGCCTGCATCTTAGAAATGCTGTGTGTTATTAGAAATGTGCAGCTAAGCTACTGGGAGACAGGAAGGCAAGATAATCGTTTGAAATTGGACCCCCCAAATAGGGATACTGTTTCAAAACACATGAGACAATGCAAAGGCATTTTGCTTTGATGTTATAGTTCCCAGAGGAAATGACTGCAGGTACCAATCAACACCTTCCTGGTAAACATTGCTGTTACCTTTGTAGTCATGGGTCTGGTTTGAGGAGCAGAAGAAAATCACAGATTCTAATTTGGGAATAGTAGAAGCTCAAGCTTGGAGACGGTTATATTCAAGGAGTAAGGTGCTTAGAGCATTAGCTGGACATGAAATGTGATCCTTGCTGTGTTTTGACAGATATTTAGTGCCTTTTTATATAGAGAGTGTTTGTTGGACGTGCCATCTATATGCAGTTTCTTGATCTGTAGAAAAATTGATTTGTCTGATGTTTTTTTAGTTTTCTTCTGGTTTTGTCTTTTTCTGCTGTCTTTGAGAATGTAATGCCTGGAGCAGAAATCGCAAAACTTACTTGGATTGGCTACTAGCAAAACAGGAAAAGCTAGATGGCTCCCATGCCCAGGAGAAGGTGTTAAACTTTGCTGGCTGTGGAAGTGGCTTGCATGCCACCAGTACATATACTTTAAGTTGGGAATTCCTGGCCTAGAGCAGAACCACAAGCATGTGTTGTCCTTTGTCCTTCCTGGCTAGAGAAGCTGCCCTTCTGCTCTCTGGAACATCTTCTTGTATGGAAAAGACCACCAGACTTTGTGCACAGTATTAGTGTGGAAACCAATGCAGCTGGAGGTGATAGCACTCCTATTCTATTCACATGACTTTACCCCCCAATGTTGGAGTGCTGTTTTTTCACTGTTACAGTAATGATTCTGGTTTGTGCCTGGTTTCCTGTTTTAGTTTGTCTAGTTTCAGCTTTCAACACTGATTCTTCTTCTGACTTCGTCAATGAGATTAAAACCCTTTAGTATCCAATATATGTACTGAAGCCTTATAATTTAAATTAATGCTTTATCTTGTTTTGAGAATATAACTGTTACTTTGACCATGCACATAAACATGATATCTGGTGCTGAGCTACTTCCGTTACTGAAACTATGGAGTTTATTTTGGAGGTATAAGTAGGTGTTGAGCACCCACTTTCCCTTTGAGACTGGGTGGAACCAGATATCCTTGGCAGCCATCTCCCTACATATCTATGTATCTTCACTTCTTGGATTATTACTACCTGTTTTCTTACTCTGTAATTCTTGCTTTTTTTTTTTTTTTTTTTTTTTTTCTTAAAAAACAGTGGATGATAGTACTGGAGTTATAAATTGTGTCTGCTGGAAAAATCCCATGGTAGCAGAAACATTTTTATCAGGTAATCAAGTATTCCTTTTTTGACTGTACTTTTTTGCTCATGTCTGTCTTATCTAATTTAGTAAATGAGCAAACTTGCAGAAGAGCAAATTCAACTTTTTTTTTATTTTTTAATTTTAAACCATCACGTCCTACAGGCTGGACCATTTTAGGCATTTTGTATTACTTTATTGTGTCCAAAGGTGATGCCAATAAAACTATTACATTATGACCTGTCATGCTTTTTCCTTATTTGAGTAATATGGTATTTTAATTCTATGCTATGACATTATTAAGAGAATCTTCTTATGGTTATTTTTGTGACTTCATCTGTTGAGGAGCTAGGCTGGAAATCTGCCACATGACACAACTTCTGTTTCCAAAGTCAATCCATTGACCAGCAACCTGGTATACATTGCCCACCCTTGTGATACAGTGATTTCAGGATTCATCTTCTCTTCGTTTGCATTCATATCTCCTCCAGCTCATGCATACACTGTCAGTGATGAACTCAAAAGTAGCTTAAAGCACAGTGGGAGGGTGCCAGCAGTCTTTTTACAGTTTGGGAAGGTTCTAAATGTGCAGAAATTGTGCATTTGAAATGAATCTATTATTGCACTCAATAACAGAACTCACTAGTGTCTGGCTTTTTCTTTGCTATTTCTCATAGATCAAAGTATGGAATACTTTCTGCTTTGGACCTTCTTGGAAGCTCATGTAGTAGATTGACAACTCTGACATGGAGCTGATCAAATTCTACTGAAATAAATGTTGCTAATGTCATCTGCTAGCATTGGGATTACATACATGTAGAACAGGGAAAGGAAGGCTTGATGTAGAAATTAAACTCTGTTATCTGTGGAACAAGCCCATTTATACAGACAGATAATTCATACTTAAACTTAACAGTGGTATAAACAATCCCAACTGGAATCTAGAAGACAGCTCTCACTTTGAGAAGTGATGTTGTGACACAGCTTCCCAAAAAAATAATGGGGACCCACAGTCAAATCAGTTTTTTATGAAGCACTTAAATTCATTAACGCAATTGCCTGAGATACTGCTTGAAACGGAATGAGGACCCAGAATGCTTGTTTCAGCCCTGTGTTCTTATTTTACATGCATGTCAGTAATGCTTGAATGGACATGTTAATGGAAATTAATGAATTTGTACCTGCTAAAAAAACCCAGCTCCTGAGGGGCACAGGAAACTTTCTTCCAGCCTTTGTAATTGTGATCAGGGATACTTGGATCATTAATCAGGTTTTAAGTTATGAAGAATTTACTCCTGCAAAAGTACGTTACGTAAACATGAAGTTCTGTCAAATTGCATTCACTTCAGCATAGACATCAAACTGCATCACGTGAACACTTTGGCCGCACCTCAGATGACTCATTCTTTTATGTAAAAAGTTCAGCTGACCTTTCTTTTCCCCTCTCATCCATCTTAGCGTAACAAAATAAAAAAATGGCAAAACCAATTTCAAATTAATGTTTCAATTTTGCAACCCATCTATGACATTTTCAGTGGTAAATCAGTATCTTTTCCCTTTTACACTTTCCCTAGGTGAACTATTTAAATAAATATAACACTGTAAACTAACTTTGTCACTCAAAAATTTTGCTACCCAAGACACGTGATGCCTGGGACCTTACCCTTTTTTTAGTAATGTGACTCCTGTGATTATTAGGTGTTTGGACGAATGCAGGACAGTCCTCTTGGCCTTAATGCCTAATCTCCTTCTCACTTACAGGTTGTCCAAGCATACCCAGTAGTCTTGCTGTGCTTGAACAGATGAAGAAACTCCAAGAAATGGTGAGCCAGAAAACCAAGCTGGAGATTGGGGATGTTGTCAGGGTCAGAGGTCACATCCGAACCTACAGGCAACAAAGGGAAATTCAGGCTTCGTGTTTTTGTGAGTGTTGTGGATTTGTGACATATGTAACTTAGTTGTCTGAATTTGTGAGAAGACATAAGCTGTATGTAATTCATTGAATAATTTCCACTTTTTTTTTTTCTGGCATCTAATTTTTCTAAAGAGGTTTTCATCTGTTTGTCTTTATTTCAATTTTAGCAGTGTAAGGTTAGAAGACACACTACTTAATGTGAGGGATTAAATAGCCTGTAAATGAGGCATTCCTGGAAAAATCTATAAAAGATGACTAGCATGCATACAAGGATGCTGTGCAACTACTGTGATTGGGTATCTGTGAGAGTGACTTGCTCTTCAGTCTTCTTTGTGTTGAACAGCCAGAGCCTGTGAGAAGGGAGTTGGTGACCTGCTATGTCACACTTCATCAGGAGTGTTGGCTGCTTTGGAGAAATGGTTGCTGTTTGTCACAGCCTGTACAATCCATTCATAGGCAGACAGCAGCGTATGGGCTGTACCACTGAAGCCCAGGTTCTGCTTCAGGTATGCTTGCTTAAAATATTGGTATGACAGTCCTGGCCAAGTATGTGTGCTCTTTTTGCTGCTCTAGATAAAGTGGATGATCCTGTGTATGATGTTCAAATTTCAAGAATGCTGGAGCTCCCCTGTCTCTATAGAGAAGTTTACGATAAACCTTTCCAAGCCCCTGAGAAGGGACAGAGGTAAATGCAGTGTCCACATTGATCTTGGGGTGAAGTGTGGGATTTTTTACTATGGTTTATTTGTTATTGTAATAACTATGGAGAAAGAACAGGGCTTAACTGTGATTTAGACTCTGCATAAGCTTACAGCAGTAGTCTGTTTTTCTCTCAAATAATTGATGATCCATACAGTTGAGGTACCTGTCCATATTCTGAGAAAAGAAATATAATGCTGAACCAAAGTGATTATTATGAAGGTAGTAAAATACTGTGTACAGGCTTCTTGCATATAGTAAAAAAAGCTGGGATCTTGAGCAAGATTTGGGGATGAGGTCAGCAGATGAGATGGAGGAGTGTCCTTGCCTAATTTTGGTTTATGTGTAAGGATAAAGAGCTATCCCATTGAAATGCTCTCAACTTCTGCTGCCCTTGTCATTGCCAAATCACAAATACATAACTTCAGTAAACAGAGTCAAACACCCATTCCTGTATTCAGTTTAAGGATAGCTGGATGCTTATTGTCAGGTATGATGCATGAAATGTGGTTTCAGACATTGCAGATCTTAAAATCATAACACTGTTACAGCAAATGATTGAAGAGGAATAGTTGGTTGTTTATTGCATATAGGAATGGTCTGTCTTAATTAAAAGGTTTAAATTCAGATTCTTTAAGTAGAGTAAAATACCTTTTGACCTTTGAAAGCCAGTCTAGCAGGCAAACTTTAGGTAATTGTTCTAAAAAAATGTTAGTAGCATATTTCTTGCCTTTTGACATGTTCTATGTATCCTTGTAGTGGCCTGGAGGGTCAGAATTTCTCAATCAATATGCTGCATGAGAAAATAAAAGGCTTTCTATTGGAAAACAAAATTCAGACCTTTTACCAACAGGAGTTGGAAACAATTGATACTCTGGTGTCACTGGCCGGTGTGCATCTAACCAGTCCCAGCTGTCAGGAGGTGAGTGGATGTAACTGTTTCAAGTTTTTAGTGGAGGGGAAATAATACCATGTATTTTTTAAGCATAAGCAACTAGATAAGAGACTGGTGCCTTCAGAGGATTAAAAAAACACAAGTGCTTCAGCTTTACGTGTGAATTATTTACAGAGTTTGAGGAAACCTTGTTGGAGACATATAAAACTGGACTGAAGAAAGCCATATGAGAAAGTTCTGTTGTTAAGGGTAATCTTGTGTTAGGACTGAGTAACTTTACAGTCTGCAACAGGCACTAATTTATCTAGAGCTGTAAATAGTGGTATCAGAAAAGGAGATCTGTTTTAAGGTGCTTGAGCTATTTGGGACAGATGTTTGAGATCCTAAATTTGATCAGGGGAAGTGAGCACAACGTCTTTGTCTTGTTTTCTTATTTGAAGTTCAGTATATTAATAGAGATGTAGCTTTCAAAAGCAGATTATAGTGAGTGGATGAACAATGATCCCAGATACATGTTCTCATTGGAAATTCCTAGTTGTGGAAGGCCATGACTGAAAGGATCAGAAGGTGGGACTTAATTGAAATCAGTTTACATGTAGGTGTCTATAACCAAGCTGTTAAGAAACTTTCCAGTGAGATAGTATGCTATTGATCCAACTGCAGAATTGGAAATTGAACAAAGCCGGTATTACTCTGTGTTACTTGGATAAGTTACAAACCAGATTCTTAACTAGTGTGAAGTGGTAAATTTCTGCAAAAGTAACAGGGCTGTGGCTTTTACAATATTACCAGTGGTAACTGAAACTTATACTGCTGGAGTGTTGTGACTCACTTGTTTACTTTTTGGTCTTCCCCGGAGATAGGCGCTGTAAAGCTAAGGGCTATATTATCTTAACATCTGATGTTTGTTTAATTCTTACAAGAAAACCCCAATGCAAAAACCGGTCCCTTGTAAACAAGGTCAAATAGTAATGAAAAATAGCTCTATTCTTGTTATCCTCATTGAACTGCTTCTGATAGAGGCTTCTTGATCGATGTTTCTTTTATTTTTATTAAAGGCATTTTTGTTGTTTGCTTTAAAGCAAGCATGGATATAAACAATAACAGGAGCTACTCTCATTTTTGACAGAAAAGTTTGATATTATAATATCCAACATGAGACAGTATTTTATCTAAACTAGTTGGAGTAGTATTAAATGTTCCCAAACACTACATTAAAAAAAGTAGTGGTCATTGTGAGTAATATTGGAAACTTCCATCTTTGAAGTTGCAGTGTTTTTGTAGAAAGATTAAGATGCAAAGCCATTTACAGTAGAATCTGGTGCAGAACAAACATAGAAACGCACAAAAATAGGAAAAAAAAAAAAAAAAACAAACACAAAAAAACCTCACAACAAAAACAATACAGCACTAGTGTTGTTAGCAGTCATGAGGAGCTATCATAATAATTAATAGTTGCTCTTGACCCTGATGCAAGGCTGTGAGTATATGTCTCAGGAATTTGGGCACACAGGTGCTTATTTAGAAATTGCAGCTCTCTATTGCCCTTTGGTATTAATTCCTTGCAAAGAGGCTTATATATCTTTGCATAAGAAAGAACCTGCAGTTGTCAAGTGACCTGAATGCCTTAAGAGGACCGGCTAGTAATGCTCTGGAACTGCATTTTGTTTTTACTCTGCTCTGTCTCTTGAAGGTGTCACTTCTCATAATTGGCAAAGGGTGAAGTACCCGGTGTGATCCACAAAAATAAGTGTAATAGATCTGATTTCTCTTCCTTTTCCTTTCTTTTCCCCTCTGTAGTCTTCTGGTTTGCATTGCCCTCAAATCAAAAGGGCAGAGGATGCTGCTAATGTGGAACAATGTTATTTCATGCCTATTTGGCAAGGCAGGAGCTAGTTGAGTGGAGCAAACTAATTATGGCATGCCGCAATACACACACTTATTGCACTTTTCCTTGATGTGAGAGGATGAGTTACTTGGATGTGTAACTTTATTTTTTTTACCCTGATTCTAGTGTTCTAGAGCACAGTTCCTGTTAAACTCTTTGCCCTCCTCTATCCTCTCCTGTGATCCTAGGAGATGTGATGCACCCCCTTCATCTCTTTCCCAACTTTTAAAGTACTTGCACAGTGTTCATCATAGTGTGAGGGTATCTCTCCATGGAATATTTTCTCCAGGGAGGTGGTGAGCTACTATGGAGTCACTGGCAGTGGAGCCGAGCAGGGGGTGAAGATGGAAGGAGATAGCTGGGATAGCTTGAGGTTGGCAGTGTGTCTCTGTTCCTTTTCAGCATTACTGTACCTGAGTCCTGTCCACATCCCATATATGTCCCACAATATCTAGTTCCAGTCCTAATGGCCTCCCAGCAGTGCAGTCTTCTGGCTATCCAGAATAAATTTCCCTCTAGCAGATGCACATGGCAGAATTCAGATCATGTCCTCTGCTTAAATATATACTAGGGAACACTTAATTTTATAGTCTACAGAAGATAGGTAAGAGAATTGGAATGCTTGGTGCTTTTATAAATAATTAAAAATTAACAAATCTGTTACAATTCTTAAAATCATTGGATCTTTATTTCACATAACCAGTATGCCCTCTATCCCTAAGCTGTAGCCTTTCCCTTACCCCTTAAAAGAAATGACTTTTGAGAGTGGAGAGGTGGGTACCACAGGGAAGACTACAAACCAAAACCAGAAAAAGCAATCTTGTGCTTAGAGAACTTAAAGACTGCACTTGCTGGACTGAGGCAAAGGGACAGACCTTTGGTTCCTTTTTTTAAAGAAAACTACGTGTGAACTTGATCCATCCAGTTTCTCAAATGGGTTAAATATGTCTTGTAATCAGCCAGTCTTGATTAACCGTTTCTATGCACTTCTTCCATACATAAGCTATAGTGTGTGTTGTTTTAGTATTACCATTCTAGTTTGTGGATGTCACTAGCTTGGACACAGGACTTGGGTTGTGCTTTCCAGACTCTCCTATTTGTACTTCTCTTGATTTGAATATTATCTCAAGGTCAGCAATGACAAGTAGTTAAAGCAGGGAGTTTTACACTGTTGTTCATACCTACTGTATACATATACCTTGTACATTGTACTGTAGGTATAACATAGTGCATTATACATTCTTGATATTATGTGCTTGTCTTCCTGCCTCTTGAAGAAGCTTCACTGCTACTTAAAATATGTGTATTGCAAAGCTTATTATAGGACTTTAGGACTGCCATGTCCAGTATCACTATTATTAAAATTGTCACCTGTCTAAGCCAAGGATTAAATATTGCAGGAGAAATTGCAAAGGGCAATGCCATGAGTAAAGTCACGTGTATGGTTATACCAGGAAGCTTTAACACCATCAGGGTGTGTTGTGATTCATAATGAGCCAAAGGTTACATACCTTCAGCATTTTGAGTAGACTGACTAATTCCTGTACCACTTCATTCTCTGACCTATTATTGATTGTACAGAGAGTTTGTCTTGTTTTAAATATCTGAGAATAAGTGGTTACACAGCACCAGCCCACTAGGCTGTGTGAGACCGATCAGATGGAATATATTGATTAAAATACCAGCTTAATTCTGGAGACATGGATTCTTCTGTTGGCTTTGCTACAGAGTCCTTGGCTGGTTTTGGGAGGGTAGCAATGGTAAAATTGTTATTTAATAGCTGCTTCTCTCAGGGTGGAGGAGCATGTTTTGCATGTGTGACAAGCGATTTTTAGATGCTCCTGTGTTTGTTTGGATGTACAGCTTCATTTATTTGAAAAGGACCTGATTTAGGAGAGGGGGGGGAACCCCTGCTGTCAGCACTTCAGAAAACCTGAAATTGTTCAGCCTGAAACTAAGGTGTGCTGAAGCGGGGGGACACTTTGCAAGATGACGTGTGAACATTGTGAGAGGTAAATTAAAAATCCAGATTCAAATCCTGCTGGTGCTTTGGGTCAGCAGATAAACTATGTAATATCTGCATTTCTCAGATGAAAAGCTTTGTAAAACAAAAATGATGGCTGATAAACCATGACTCAGAAGGAAGGACATTAACAGCTACAATACCTCTTTATAACTGTTGAAATGCAAGTATTTTTCAATCTCCTCCTGAAATAAAAGCAGAGATGTGAAATCATGTAGGATTTCATAGTCCTAGATTTCTTCTCTCTGTGTATAGCCCCATGTTCAGTCTCAGACAGATTTCTGGACAGTAGATGAACCACAAACTTAAGTGTACGTTGACTCTGAGGGGGGATCCGAGTCCAGAGGAAGTGAGGGCCTGGTTTGGCATAAAAGAAAGTGATAAGCTATTGAAAAGGAGTACTATTGACTTACGAATTTGCAGGATGAGATGCTGGAGATATTTTGGGTGGACCAAAAGAACAGATTAAGTACTTTCAGACTGTGTTCACAAAGAAACTCCTCAATTGTTGCTTTACTTGGAGGGATGGAGAGGAGGAAGCATGTTCTAGAGGCACACTAGGAAAAAGCCCCAAACTTTTCCTGTCATTTTATGATAATATTAAATCCCCTGAGGAGGGCAGGAGCACTCATTTATTCTTCAGGAACAGTCCTTCTGCTATGGAGCCCTTTCCCTTGGGTTCTGCAGCACATATGAGAGGGTGCTGATATGTAGCAGCTGCTTACTTCTTTTCTCACTCCCAAGCCTGCCTCTCTGCCTTCGCTCTGTCAATGCCCTGACTTGCATTCTTAGTGATTTTGTTTCAGTATCTATCCAGGCTGAGCTGTGTGTCAGTTCACACAGAGTCTGTTTTTAATTATCTCCCTTTTCTGACAGGATCTCAGTGTTAAGCCAAACTGAATAATTATCGTGCTTCTTTGGAGATATTTTTATCTTTTTGCTCTCCAAATGTTTGCTTTCACATTAAAAATTGATCAGTCTTGAAGTGGTTGCTTTGCTAGCAGTTTCTTAGATTCTTGAGGATATACTGCTGCATTTGAGTGAGAGGCAAAGTCTTCATTTTACATATGGCTATAAGAATGTGCTTTTCCATGCGAAAATATTCACTTAACTCTTCCTGCTACATTTTATGATTGTTTCTTCATTTCATCAGAAGAGACACTATGAAGAGAAATATGATAGTGGTATTAACACTGTGACTGAAATGGTGCCCAGATGTACAGTCAAGTTAGTAATTAGAAGCAGTGTCTGTTAATGTTCAGATTGATACAGCTGTGGTGGACAGGGGTACAGACGGACCTTTGGGCACTGAAATTCTTCAGTCTGGAACAGAACAAAGAAAACTGAACTGAGAATAATAGCCATTGTTCTATGTTAATTATCTTGAACTATTAGGCAATTATTTTTGACTCTTGATTTGAGAGGAAAAAGATAGGTAGCTGTTGTCGGACAGAGAGAAAGAGATGTGATTATGACCTGCTAAAATACTGAAGATTAGCTTCAGGAAGGGGATGGAGAAACTTGTGATGCATTATTGGACTAATAATCCCTGTTGGATCTCTGAACTATTCCCAGTTAGGCACATCAGCTTCCAGGCTTAGAAGCAGTTGGAGTTTCACCTGAGGCTTGCAAACTGATTGAATGTTTTGTGAAAAGATAGTCTTCCATTAATATGTTTCACATATTCATGTGAATTCATTCTAGTGCATGTTGGTTGCCTGTTTCACTCCCAAGGCTTCTGTGAGTTCAGCTGGTGAGTGAAGTAGGATATGTGAAGCCTGATACTTCTGTTCAGAACAGGGTGGGAGCATTTATGGTGATACTTGAAGAAATGGCTTGGCAAATCTTGCTTTGGTTGCTCTGATGTGGTTCTAGGATCACACGTTGGTTTGTGGGAAGCAGTTTAGCTCTGTTCTCAAAGAAAACCACAGGGAGGACAGCGTGCTCCCAACAGATGAGGAAACAACAACTGGGAAATTGAAGCAGTCTGTGTAGATAAATGGGAATTTGAAGGACATGGTAGGACCAATAGAGATGGAGAAGAGTAAGTCATAGTCTTGCTCTTATCTACCCATGCTTTCTCTTCTCCACAACTGATTATTTCCTTCCACTTCCTTAGCTGTCATTCAACTGTCTTAGCTCTGCTCTACTTTCAAACAAACCCTAATTCTCCTTGATTTTTATTTTCTCCCCTTCCTTCCTTCCTTCCGTCCGTCCTTCCTTCCTTCCATCCTTCCATGTGTCCCAAACACAGAACCCTTTGATCTAAATAACCTCCTCAGTTATGGATTTCCAGGCACACTGTTTTCCACCTGGCCTTAAAACTGAATCTTTTCTTCCCTTATCTCATATACCTGTCTTAATTTCTTGCATGTTCTTTATCCAGTCATCTCACTAGGCTGTGGAGAAACTCTTGAGAACATGACCAGAATGTGTGTAAAAATTTGGAGGTGGAGTGGACAAGAAACAAATAATGTTCTGTTACTTTCTTCCTTTTCCTTGGACACTTCTACAGTTTCAAATCAGGAGATGGAAATCCAGTCCCTAGCACTTGGGTTCCTCCTGAATATCACCTTACAGAGCACTGATCTCCCTATCTTTCTACCTTTCATTATCAAGAAAACTCTGAATATGAGCAAAGCTTGATTAGCTAAACAGTGAAATGCTCTACGAACATCACAAGTTATTCCAAAAGAGAGTTCTCAGTACATAAGCAAATAGCTGCTAAATACAAAGAAGGCAGTTAGGAGATTGTGGTTCCTTAAGAATATCACAAGCTTCTGGGGTGTACGTGTGTTTTTTATAAAGCTCAGGAATGTTGGTTAGTTCATACATAACTGATATGATTTGTGAATTACTAAATGAAGCAAAATGTTTAACAAAATCACCTGAAGTCCTTTTGTTCTGGAGAGCATCTGGGGCTTTTGCTGGTAACTCTAATTGAGCTGAGATTTATCACCATCTGCTTTATTCCTTTCTTGCCAGGTGAAGTCAGAAAGTGACTCCAGTTCCAAAAGGATTCACAGTGTTTTTAAGGAAGCAATAAGGATGCTACAAGAAAAAGGCGTGGTTTTCCAGAAACCTAGTAGCTCCAAGGACTTGTACCATGTAAGGAACTGAGCTGTGGCTGCAAACAAGTTCAGGGATATGACTTTCATAGTCAGTAAAAACAGTAGAAATGTTTCAGAAGTAGTAGATATGTTTCATAAAGAAGCTGGACATCCAAGTGCTGTCTGTTTACTCAAAAGTCTTAGCTACAGCTTACTTCACTGTTGCTTTTACCTCTGTATCACCCACTGAGTTGTTCTTTTTGTAACTCAGCACCAGACTTAAGCACTGCTGCTGTTCCAAGCACAGTCTGTGTTCACTGGGTTGCCAAACTGTGAACCAATGCAGCTGAGCACACTGAAGCATGGGGCCTGGGACAGTTCTCTTTATTTATCTAAGTTGGTTGAAACTTGGTATTCTGAGTCAGTCACCCTTCTTCAGATTGAATTCTGGTATGTGATGTTCTTCACCTAACTCAGGGATGCTGATAATGGTACTAAAAATAATGACTGAAGATTTAACATTCTTTATTAGTCTTGGAGGCAGTATATAATGCAGACTGTAGTTATGACAGTGTTAGTTTAGCATACATCATGGCCTTGGATTGCTTTTCAACAGCCATGCTGTCTACTGTGAAATAGACTGCTATAAATTGCCAGTTTCTTCTGTTTTCTCCAGGTGACTGACCATGATAAGGAGCTTCTTAAAGTGACCCTTGATGTGATTAAAGAAGACTGTCGAAAACCCAGGCGTAAGTAGCAGTGTGATCAGGGGTCTTATGAGCTGGTGCTGATATATTGATAACAGTATCTCCTGCTGCTGCTGGATTAGATATGCTTCTTGTCCTCACCCTTGAACTCAGAGCTAAGTTGCTGGTGTAGCTAATCAGTATAGCTAAAAGTGGGAGTGCAAGAGCAGCTTCCTGTGAGCATGGAGAGAGATAGAGCAGGTGTGCCCAGCAGGAAGCAAACCTCTCAGATCTGAAATAAGCAGCCATTATCTTAGATCTATAACTTCTGAGAATACTTAAGATTTTGGGAGGAACCAAATGTAATGAAGTTAGGTCAGCACCTAGCAGCTGTTGCTTTGCGCTCTGGCTAAGTAGCAAATCTTGCTAGTTCGGTTTCTACAGGGGAGTTGACACAAAAGGCCATACAGAAAGGTGAAATCCCCACCTCCAGGATGTCAACAACAAAACTTACTTAAGTCAGTAGGATATTCTTTGTGGATTTTAAACTCAGGTAGGGCTCAGGTGGTTGTTCTTTGCAGGTAGGGATTTCAGTCTAACGAAATCTACTTCTTTTCAGGTAATGTACCTTGTATGGCTATGGCTTCTGAGTTTTCCCTGTCTATCAAGCCTGTTGTGTCTTATTGCCATAGTGATAGATTGTGCTTGGCTTGAATGTCTGCTAATTACACAGGTACTTTGCTACAGAGTTTCAATTCATTGGGCAGAATGTGTCAGCAGGGATCACTTGCTGCTGTGCAGCTATTTGTGAGGTAGACCATAGTTCGTACACAATAAATGACTGATGAGAACATAAGGCATATAATCTTAAATTGCTCATATCCTTATACTATCATAACTGTAACAGTGCTTGTACGACCTGGTATATGATGGTTATCCTGCAGTGAAAAAAGGCGTAAGTGAAGTAGTATTATTTTTGAGTTTTCAACTGGCTACTTTAAGCAGTGGTACAACCGTAGGCAAGGCTTGTAGGTGGAGGTAAAAGTTCTGCATCTTTGGGGGTTGGAGGAAGTAGATGTTACTGGGCATGCAGGTGAAGATGGGCTCATTTGCCTGAGGTTATTTCAGTGCAACAAGTTACCGTGTCACATCGTTTTATCATTTTTTATCCAATTAACAAATACAAATATATCCGTAAGAGTAGAATCATTCCTCTGCCGGTTTTATACATCAGCTAGTTCTCGTGGGAACCCATGGGGTTTTTTTAATAGTTGTGCCACTGTAAAGGCTGGAACCTGTATACAATTGACACAGGGCATTGAGCAACTACCGGGTGTTTAAATCCCCTCTTGTGCATTGTCACAATGGTAAAGTACTCTGTGCTCTGTGAAAAGTTGGGATGTTTTTTCTCCTGGTCAAGAGGAGTCAACAGAAGAGACAAACTTGTAGATCAGTCACAGAAAACACTTTGAAGAGTCCTGAGTCCTCAAAGCCATGTTTTCCATACTGAGCAGGTTAAAAAGAGAAGCTGTTTTATAGAGTCTCTTGTTCTTCTCAAAGCTTTCCACCTACTTAGTTTCCTGTTGTAAAGAGGGCAATTTCCAGGTCAGTGTCTCTTTGCTAGTTTTCAGAAGGACAGTTTCAATGTCCTGGTCGCTGGTAATAGAAGATTTTGAGAAGGAAAGCCAAAAAGTTTCAATCAAAACCAACAGGGTACTGCGGATATTTTATTGTCACTGAATGATGCAAGAATGCAGAGCTCAACGTGGCTGTCGGACCCCCTCTGCTGGTGGGATGGCACTTAACCACCCGCTTGGCTTTGACTGGTGAGCAGGCTGGTAGTGGGAGAATACCAACGTGGTAATACCTCAAGAGCTTTTGCTTGTTTGCAAGAAATTCCTACCCATTTTCCTTCAAGTGTAATATTAGTCTTCCATTACAGGAAGACTGATTTATGATTAAACCAAACTCTTCTCCAATGAGTTACTTTTCTGCCAGTTTTTCAAGGCAATGCTTCCCCTCCATTATTTTAGTTGTGACACATTCTCAGGCCCAACCCTGCTGCCTGGAACAAATAAAAAAATCCTAAGCATGCCTAGTCAGAGCTCTGCAAACCCTGATCTGTAATATGCCTACATGACAATCCTAGTCCTTGGCTCCAATTGTAATTCCAAACAGCCTGGTCTTAAATGCCCTCATGTGAGGCCACTGTGGGTCTGTTTATAGGCTTAAGATAGCCAGAAAAGGATGACAGTTCACTTTGACTCCAGACTGAACTGCAAAATGGTAGACTTAGTCCAGATTTGTTTGGGGTCTTTTTTGACAAATTTGCCCTGGTTTTAGGCTTAGATGAGGCAAATAATAGAGAGGAAAAAACCAGAACCACCTGAAGTTAAATTTAAAATGTCGGAATGCACCCTGTGTGAGATGTCCACAGTGGGCAAATGGTAGCTGTTTTATAACTCTGTCCTCTCTGATATTGGTAGTCAGGTAAGACAGTTAATAACAGCCTGGCTTACCTCAGCTGGTGGACAAAAGCTAGAACCCAGCATGTCAGTGAAAGAGGGACAGCATCACTCACTTCAAGGACTGTATTCCCTCAAAGTTGGGCCATAGACTAGGAGTGTTTGTGGGTTACTTAATGATTGCACACACTTGCAGCTACCCAAAAATGCCATTTTCTACCAGAATCTAGGATGAAAATATGTATTGTACTGTTGGGTAACAATAATATAATTCATCGAGACTTAAGATAAGTCACTGTAGATCAAGGATGGGCACTTTGACCTTATGACAAACCTATGATTAATGCAAAATGCAGCTACCCACTTTGCAACAAGAGTCACCATGACCAGGTAGAGGCATTGTTCTGTTCTCTGCACTTATCTGTCCTAGGGTGGTGGATGCGTTTATGGCTACCAGCCAAAATCTGACTTCTGAAGAAATAACTCTTCTTGTTTCACAGTCTAAAAGGATTTAGGCTGAACTGTTTATTTAGCAGTTGCCTCCTATCTACCAGTAACTTTTCTCAGCAGCTTCTAAGGCAGTTCTGGGACTCAGCTGATTCTAGAGTAGAGACTGGCAAAAATAAAGACAAAGGCAGCATCAACAACATAGAGGGACCTCCCTGGCCCATGGCAATTTCTCAGTACCCTTGTAAAACTTACTGTACATTATGTGAGCTGAGGGCTGAAGAGGATCAAAGTCGTTTCTGCTAATATGTCTCATTTATGCTAATTTTCCATTGTTAGCCACAGAGGAGAAAGAAATCTCTTGTGGAGTTCAGCACTTGAGGAGACTGGGAGCCTGCAGCACTGATGATCAGTGGGTCTGTTGGACGAAACGTTGACAGGGACAGCTGAACTTCAAATGATGGCTCTACAAGGCACACAGTAGCTGTGTGCAGTACTGCAGTCTTTAAGGACCTTTGTCTCTGGTTTGCCCTCTAGGAAAGGGGATTATTTTGACATTTCTGTTCTCTTGTATGTTTTCAGGGTTCATTCCTCTTAAAAGGAAATAAAATTTGATACTGAAGTTCTGTGACCTTCTACTCCAGTAATTGTCTGAATAGTCTGAAGTGCAGGGAAGCAGTCAGGTGAATGAAGGTTGCACTGTAGCAGTTCTTCCACAAGATGCCAGCATTGGGCAAGCAGTTACAGGTCCTGGCCACAGACCGTCTTTCTGTTCTAGACGTTTTTGAAGTTGGGTAAAAGGATTTTCATTCTGTTTCTTCTGCAGTTGCAGGAAGTGGGTGGCTGGCATAGGTGGATAGTGGAGGTACCCTTAGGTTAAACTCATCATCAGGTTGTACTGAATGAGCACTGCATATTAGAGTTTGCAAGACTGATTATCCTTCACCCTCGTTATTAGTGTTATAGCCCTGACACTTTCCAGAAAAGTCATGGGGAACAGTTAATAATTGGAGAACTGTAGGCATAGACTGGATCTCTTCCCTCTGAATGTGTGCATCTCTGCTGTAGTACCTAGGACATTCTTCTTCTGACAGCTGTGGGTTTTTTCATTACTAATCTGTATTATAATAGTTTAAAAGAAACAGTTAGATTGAAGTCTTCGCTCCATGCCTGGCTGTATTTTCCCTTTTTTCTGCAGATGCTGAAAAAGGCTGCCATTTCCTTCATGTCCTGAGTTGTGTTCGGCAGAGTTACAACCCTTCTGTGGCTGAAGTGGTGATACACCGTGTCTTGGAACTGCTGGAGAGTAACAGTGATGTTGTCAGCACTATGGAAGGATATTATATGGCATTTTAAAGAGAGAAGATAGGATACATTAATTCTGGTCCATTCAGGATAAAGGAGGGAAGAAGGAAAGGTTAAGTGGCCCTGAAAAGCTGCTATTGCCTGGTATGAGCTAGATGGGGGGAAAAAAGAGCATTCTCATTCTCTAAATGGTGGTTTTGTCCAGCTTCAGAAAAGTTGTTCAAATATTTGCTTTAATATTTTTGTTGACTTCCTCGCCATTCCTAGTGAAAGCTGTATCAAACTGATTCTGGACATCCTAATACAGCAGGGGAGCTGGAAAAAAACCTGAGCTCTTTCCTTGCAGTAAGATATGACATGTCCTTCCTCACATTTACATCCAGTGAGCCCTAAATAAAAGTCACTGCTAGAGTGCTGTTTATAGCAGTGGTCAGGTCAGGACTCGTTTTTCTGGCTTAAAGACTGATCTTGTGATCTTTCCATATGGTAATAGTTGTGGGTCTTTCTTCTTATGTATATTTTACAATAGCTAGAGAAAGGACATGCAAGCAATCAAAAGATTTGCTTGTCCTTCCTGGCAGTGTTGGTGTATTTATGTCTGTAAGTATGTATTCCTGAATGTGCACAGCTTTCCCACCACTGAAGCAGTCCTCACCTTTCTCTGAAAAGTAATATTCAGGAATAATGGGACCTTGCATCCCTTCCCCAATCTGCAGCCTTGCAGGCTTGTCAAGCTTGTCTGGGTTCCCCTGTCTACTGTGTGCACTACTGGTGCATGTTGTTGTGGATTCTGTTCAGACCAGAATTCTCAATCAGACACAGTTTTGCTGTTTATTTTTAAATTGCTTTCTACATCACAAATGGTAAGCCATAAATCAGATGCTTTGGAAAAGAAAATACAAAAGCCAGCAAGATCCACTGTATTCTCCATGCTCCTTGTTGCTTTTAGTGTATTCTATTCCTTGTGACCTTTGGGGAAAAATACTATCCATATCTGTGCTTGCACGGGAACATAAGACATTGATGAAATAACGTTGGCCTAAAGAGGGTTGCCATGTGAGACATCTGATCTGGAATAATCACAACTCTGTTACGTGCTACAGTTCAAAGCCCAGAGCTGTTCAGTAATTATCCTTAGAGAGGGCTTGTCTGTTTAATGAATCTGGTTAATGGTGTGGAGGTGAGACCTTTAACTTGAAGAGTAGGAAGAATTTAATGTATCCTTTCTCTTTGCTCTGCACCTTCTCTGTAACAGTTAAAATAGCAGACTCCCAGGAGGCAGATGTGTAGTGGTAAAGCCCTATAAGGATTGATATAGCAAGGAAAAATAAACCATATGCATGAGGAAAGCCAGTGAGTAGCCCCATGTGTGCCAGGTCTCTGGTTTGCTGTTATATTATATACCTCATTCCAAGCCCTGGCTGCAGTGAGATATAGGCTAAAAGAAAGGCATGACAAAATATTTGGCATTTGCATTCAGAGGCCTGTGGAAAACTCTGGCCTTAGAGATGGTGCATTTGCCCATAGTGGGGAAAACTATGTATGAATCACTCTTTTGCTGTAAATTCTCTATTTACTGCCGGGCTCAATAGTTGGTTTCCCTGCAGGCTGCCCTCCTCCTAGCATGGCCGCTCTGTTTTGCGTTAGGTTACTTCTAGTCAGATGGTAATATGGGCCTGCACAGGTGCTGAAAGTATGTACCTATAATGAAGGGAATAAAAGAGGATTAAAAAAGAATGGTAGAAGTCCTGTCCTTGTCCTGTCCCCATCCTGTCCCATCCCTGCTCCCCTTTCTCCCCTGCATGAACATCTCTGGAAATCAGGGACAGAAGTCTAGATTCTGAGTAAAGAGGTATTAATTTATGCCTACGAAATGGTCTGGCTGGTCATAGGGGAGATATGCTTTTCAGATCCTCCTGCTCTGATTACTGATCATTTTGAAGTGATGCTTAAAAATAAAGGCTATCTGTGTGAGTAGGAGTTTGGAATATTGATTCCTAAATTCTGATTCACTTCAGGATTTAACCGTGTTACTGCTTGATTGTGGACAAGTCACCTACTTGGCCTTAAACTCAGAGTTTGAATATATTATTAAAGGAAAGTGTGTGGACCATATGGAAAAGCATGGTGTCTAATTCAAGCGTCTGGCTTGGCCATTTTCTTGAAATGTTCTGTATTGCCAGAAGCCGATTTTGCTGGGAAAGAGTTAAAAGAACACTGCTAGCACAGTGGAAAAACTGATCTGCTCTCTTAGGTTAGAAGACAGACAGACCCTGGTTCTCCTGAGGATGTCAGCCAAGTATGTGGGCTGGATGGGTTTTGGGAGGAGTTCTGCTCATCTAAATATTGGAGGAAAAGATAGTCTGGAGATCATGTTGCTCTTTAGGGTCTCTTTAAAATAAATTCATACCAAAATAGGATGACATGTTTGTCCTTTGCAGCTTCTATAGTCATACATGCAGCTTCTAATGGATTCTGTTGCCTCCAACTTTGATGCTGCACCTCCTGTGGTTTAGCTGTGTTTGTGTGTAAAAGTCTGCCTAAAACCCCTGGCCACCTATTCTCTGTCCTGCGTCCACTGCAATTTAAAAGCACTGATCAACTGCAAAGCCTCGGAGATGAGGTAGAAGGAACTTATCTCAGGAAAAACAGATAACTCACTCTGGAAAGAACCTGTCCTTGGAAGTTTGTAAGTTGGTCCTTGCTGGCAATGCTGGACTCTTGTGATGGAGGGTGCATTCTGCTGGAGATTGGTCCCCAAGAACAGGAAGGAGTGATTTTTCTCACTTGAGTTAACTCAGGGAAGTAGTATGAATGAACACAAAGGAGCCTACAGTTTTTACAAGAGTGAAACATTAAGGTAAAATTAATGGAGGAGCCTAGATTTAAATTCCACAGATTCTAATTCTGAATAACTGTACGGAATAGTTGTGCCTTAAGCTTGCATGCTTTATTTTTTCCATGGTAGCCACCCAACACAGACTAACACTTACTCTGGTTGAGTGCATTCCCTCTCTTGTACCTACAGGGAATACCATATGCATATGCCTGCATAGAAGTACCCCAGCTAGCTGTGGGAGCACAGAGCTCACTGTAGGTTGATTTACCCATTTACTCAGTATCTCTACAGTATGCTTCTGTGACAGCAGTCTAGACTTACCCATATTGGTATAAGTCACCTTTATGTAAGTCTAACTACACACACTAGGGCTTTTACTGCTAATAAACTGTCTCTCTGTTTAAGGATCATATCCTTAACCAAGAGAGTCATATCATGCACACTGTTAAAATTCTTAGACTTAGACCACACCTACAAAATATTGTGTGGAACATTTAGTGAAAGTGTACTTTCTTGTTTTGTTTAATTTGAAAACTTGTTAGGCAACACAATTATTACTGGTTTATTAAAGGACTTTGGAAGGTGGCACTTTCATGTAAAACTGACAAGTGAGAATTCATGTTGTAGGACTGCTTCATGGCCAGTTCCAGTTTCCATAGAAACAGTTACAGCAGTTAAAGGCAGGTAAGTAAAATGGAGTTTTTAAAAGCAGTCAGCATTTTTACGTTATCTTAAAAAGGTATGTTTCCATAGAAATGCAGGCTCCTGAGAATAAAAATTACTAAAGAATCTTAATTCTATTCTAGCAAAACCTAAGGTGATTGCTTTTCTGGTGAGGGAACAAAGGAACAACTCTACCTTCAGTCCCTGACACCTGCTTAGGTGAGAGAAGAGGTGTGGTTGCTTCATGCCTCCGTTTCCCTCCTTTGTAAATTGGGGAAATTACATCTCCCTGTGTAGAGTATAACCCTAAATTTTTCTTAACATTGGTTATTAAAAGCTCTTGAGATCTGTCGATGGGAGCTGTTAAAGAACTCTGGCTGTGTGGGAGAGGGTGAACGGATGGATGCTGGAGTGGGAATTCATTCTAATCCAAGCCCCTCTTTTGGCAATAGCACTATCTTTCTCTGCCTCTCTTTCCATGCATATTGCTTTGCCTGTCTTATCTTTTTGCTCTTCACATTCTGTGAGGCAATCATGGTCTCTCTGGTTTTATTTGTTTCAAATATTTATCCTGGAATCCTGTTCCCTCCTTCTTAACTGACATCTTAAAAACAGAAATTAAGCTAAATGAGTTCTGAGTGTTCTTGTTTTCAAATCTTTGGATAGTAAATTTGTAGCTGTGAGGGTGTATATTTTACATAAGCTACCTGGGAAATTAAGCTTTTCTTTCAAAGTAATAAATGAAAAAAATTAAAGATTTGCTACATGACTGAAAAATGTTACTTTTGTGGATCTGTCCATACTTGCATATTCAGTGATGAATACCATAAATAGCAGGAGTTGCTATTTCATTATTCAGAATGAGAATTCATCAATGAGCTGCCAGTGAGGCATGGAGCCACATGGAGAATTATGAGACAAAGTACTGAAAATCTGCTTGTCAAAGAAATGCAGTTTGGTTTACTTTGGGAGTAAGCTGATCCTGTGAGGAAAAGATGTTCCTAGCAAAGGTTTGTATCTTTATACTTACCTCTGAGTGGGAAAAGGAGCAAGCTCAGATCCCATGGGCAACCCAAATTTTGAAACTTCCTGTCACTGTGGCACTATGTTCTTTACTCATCCTGTCTTTCAGCACAGTCTCCTGCACCAACTCTACAGGCTAGCGAGCAAACAAAAGTTCAGCCAGAAAGATAAAAGAATAGTTATAATAATTGGTTACCATCCTCCAGGAGCATTTTTGTGGACGTTGTTGGCAGCAGGGAAATGCTGAGCCAAGGGTCTTGGGTTTCATTCCCAGCGGTCTGCGCTGTCAGGCAGAGGCTTTCCCCCTAATTTCTTTCATCTATTTCTGCTCTCTGCGCTCTCCTCTAAGTGTCATTTCTCAGGCCTTTCATTTCATTCACGGTCTCATGGTTCATCTCTGCACCACGGATCCTGGTCAAACCTCCTTCCTCTCTACTTTGTTCCCTTTTTTCTTTCCTAACTTAAATATCCTTGTCAGCATCTGACAATTAGAATTTTCAGTATAATCCCCTTGCCTAACTGACCTGGCACTGTTCACAGCCCATTCCAGTTTCAGCAGGCTGTGCTTCACTCCTTGTCTAGGCACCAGAAGAGGCAGGTGTCATCCACTTCACTCTCAAGCTTTCTTCCCCATGTAGTTTTGCAGCAGGAAGGAGCTGCAATTTTAGGAAAACAACACTTTTTCCCATCCCATCCTCCCAAAGACCCAGTAGTACCCTTAAAGTTTCTAGTGGTGGTTTTCCTACAAGTATCCAACTACAAAATAAATATAATTTAAAAATAAACCACTTGCCTTGCGCAAACCTGAGCAAGCACAAGTCACACCCCTGACAGAAGCTATCTGCCTCTCCCGGCCGCTTTCATGTCCTTGCAGATTTCATTGTATACATGATCTGTAAAGTTGATGTGGACTTTTAGTTTGTGTGTCTCCTTTTAGCCTGTTTTTTTTCTGAGAAACTGGAATTATACTCATGTGATTATACTGCGTGTCTGGGCATTTGTCAACTTCTGTCCTGCCATCCCAAGTGACTTTGTTGGCTAGTTAAGAGTGGTGAAGGACCCTGAGCTGTTATGGTCTTGCACGTTTTTAGAGAATGGATGCACTGATAGAAGAGGGAAGCCCAAATTACTGCCTCCATGAAGGGGAAGGAAGAAACTCAGTCGTACCACACTAGAGAAAGCACACACGAGACTGTCCCAATGAAATTGATTTTGTAACTTTTGTAACTTCAGCTGCCACAAGAAGTGCTTGTTCTGCTGTGCTCTTTCAAGAAATAACAGGACTGTTTTTCCTAAAGTTTGCTCGTAGACATCACCCCAAGCCAGACATTTGTGATGGGAAACTGCAAATCAAACTGTTAAAATCTGGTAAAGTTATAGCATCTACATCAGGGTACAAAGTTGAGTAACTGATTGTTAGGGTTGCCACCAGCCCATTCCCACTAATATTTGTTAAATGTGCAATGGAGATTATACTAATCTAGTCATAGTAATTCACAAGTTGAAACCAGCCCAGTTTAACAAGATTGCTTGAGCATAACATAACCAGGAATTTGTTAGTAAAAGAAATAACCTAAAGGAATGATTTTCAGCAAGTGCTGAACCACCGAACAGTGTAGTGCCAATTAACCTGGCACAACATGTCTTACAGCTCTTGTTTTAGCTTGCTTTTTGTTATTGATTGGAAGAGTGAATGCTCCTTCCCTACCAGCTAGAACTGGAGCTCTCTGCCACCTTAGCCTGTGATGAACAAGCTGTGAATTTACAGGCATGTAAAGGCCAAAACATCTGTTCATCTTGCTTAAAAACTGGAGGAGTGGCTGCATCTAAGCCACTGATTCCATAGAATGTCTAGGCTGAGACATCTACTTCTTCGTTCTTTTTAATTTCCCCAAGTTAAAAGTAAAGCAGACAGGAACGTCATCCCACCTCTGCTGCAAACAAGGTAAGATAAACAGCAAATGTATGTCACTGCTTAACAGCCAGTGTGATTAAATAAAGCATATGCCAAGTCTGTTGTGGTCCGGGAAAGTGCATGGTTCCTCCCAGGAGTGGAGACATCCAAATATTACAGTGATACTTGGATATAGGAGGGAGGAATCAGTTCTCTCAAATGTCTCCCCTGCAGGCCTACCTGATTCTAGCATGTGCTTTTCTTGGTCAGGTATAAAGGTGGTAAGGAAATTAAAAGGGTGCTTGGAGTTGGGTTTTTCTCATATTGCCCAAATTTAAGTCATTCACATTGAGAGTGTAGAAGATGTCCTTATGTGCATGTAAAACTCTTCTTTGCTGTAATGCCCACAAAAAAAACCCAGAGTTGTAACAAGCTAGCTGATTTTCTGAAACTACTGCCTACACTGCTGACTAATACTCTCTCATTGTTTTTATCCCTCACCTTGTCTTTTTTTCCCCAATAAAATCTCTTGAATTTAATTCCTGATCCAAAGTGGTTATAGCCTCTCTCTTTGTCCTTCTGTGAGTACGGTGATCCAGGAAAAACATCAAGAGCAAACTCATATAGAGAAGGGTTTTTGCTGGAACTCTGAACATAAGAAAGGATGAGAAAAACAGAGGAAGCTGAGAGAAGAGGATTTAGCACAGATATTTGAAATTAGTCCCACTGAAAAAGGCTAAAGAAATAATTGCCTAATGATGCTTTAGACATCTGTTTCGGAACAGGCAGCAGGTGTTGCATGTAATGAAAGCAAGGACTTGTACTATTTTATTTTCTGCAATTAGAAATCAGGGGAGGAAATGAGAGCAGGAAAAAATAAAGAAAGAGAACATTTATCATAAACAGCTGGACAAATTTATATAGAGCACAGTAATACTTGTATGTTCTTCTTCTGCCTTCTGCATACTATCCTTTAACAGTTCCCATGTTCTGTAGGGTATTTTATCCTTTCTAAAAGACCAATGCCTTAGATGCTAAAGTCAGAGCTGGCCACCAAACTGCCTTTGTGGATCAAAATGTTCAGGACAATGTAATTGTTACTTACCCAGAGGCTGCTGTGAACTGACAGAAAGGGTTGTGATGGAGAAGCTGCCCTCGTCTCACAGGTGGTCTCCGTGTGCCACACTCATTAGAGAGACTCTGGTTAGAGAAATGGTCTTTAGGGTTGCATCCTTGGTGCTGAACAGCCATAGCTTAACACATGCCTGGATTCAAATAACTGCCTGAAATTATGTGGATGATATGTCCACTGCTCCAAACTGAAAAGAACACCTACACGGTGTCAAAGGCTTTGCTAAAGCCTAGGTAGACAGTATCCACAGCCCTTCCCTCATCCACTAAGCAGGTCACCTTGTCATAGAAGGAGATCAGGTTAGCCAAGCAGGACCTGCTTTTCATAAACCCATGCTGACTGGGCCTGATCATCTGGCTGTCTGCTCCATAACCTTCCCCAGCACCAAGGTCAGACTGACAGGCCTGTCATTCACCCGATCTTCTGGCTCTTCTTGTAGATGGGCTTGCTAATTTCCAGTCAACGGGGACCTCCCCAGTTAGCCAGGACTGCTGATAAATGATTGAAAGTGGCTGGATGAGCACATCTGGTAGCTTCCTCAGAACCCTGGGGTGGATCCCATCCAGCTCCATGGACTTGTGTGTGTCTAAGTGGTGTACCAGGTTGCTAACCATTTCCCCTTGGATTATGAGGCTTCATTCTGCTCCCCATCCCTGGCTGGGTACCCAGAGAACAACTGGTTGTACTATTAAAGACTGAGGTACTCCACTACTACCCTTACAAAGTCTAACCTGGGAATGACTAGGGAAAAAATACTATTGTGTCTACCCATCAGATGATGTTGCTGCTGAGGAGCTCCAAAAGTGCTCCTCCTAAAGAAGTCTCTCTGTCAGGAAAACCACTTTGTTTTGCATGAAGGTAACTGAAAAAAAATCAATGCATTCCACTGCTGAGTGATGGAGATACATATTACGGATTTCTCCATACAGTGTCAAGGTTGTGCTTTTGTCATCTGTGGTCTAACTGCAGTTCCATGACTGCCTTTTCATAAGATTTTATTGATACATTTTTTTATAATTCACAGCCCATCAGTCAAATGTTTTCTGGTTTGGATATTGGCAGATAAACACTTCTACTTTCTCTAGCGGATGTGCAGCCAAATAAAATTACTGTTTGGTTTCAGAAGCGGTTGAATAAGTAAAAACAGTGAACAAGGGAATTCAAGATTTAAAAGTGCTTGGTGGAAATTTTTAATCTGTTAATACTTGGTGTCCATGTATATACTTAGAGGCAACATGGGAAGAAAATGCAAAGAAAGACTTCTTCCTAGACCGACTTTATTTGTAACAAGCCTGCATTTTCAATAATGGATTGCCAAGCTTTTTGCAGAGGATGAGGCAGAAGCCGGTCTCAAAATGTGCTATTTTGAGAACAAGAGCAACTAAAGTCAGGGACAGCATCCAGGAAGAAACCTGGGGAATCCCAATCCAAACCTGTGATCAATTTGATAAACTTCAGCTGTCTCAAGCATAAGCCTGACATGTATATCATGCATAAATTGTGGTTTGGGCTTGCTTGTTTTGTTTTGTTTGTTTTTTTTTTTTTAACTATGTCAACAGATACCTACAAAGCCTTCATAACAACGGAAAAGTACAAGGTGTACATAGGTGAAAAAGTCTGCACAGTTTGCTGCTACTACCCTAAACAGAGAGTACAGTGCACAGACTGTGGTTGGAAATCCTCCGTTCACAACTGGTAAGAGAGGACTGAAGAATAACACTAGCCATGACAGGGTTAAATTGTATGATAGCTGCATCAACAAAAGGATAATCTATAATTTAAATCAAGAGGGTGAAGCAGCCCTTTCATAATGTAAGTAAAAGCTGTTATGCCGTTGGGAAAGCATGTACGCTGCTAGCAGGGGGAATGATTATTTTGTTTTTTCCATTATACTAGGTTGCAGACAGGAGCTGATAAAGCAGCACTCTGGTGAAGAGGCTGCGAGAGGAAGAGGCACGCTACTGGGGGGGGGGGCTGCTCTGCCAGGACTGCTGCTGGTTTCTTCAGCTCCCCTCTACCACAGGAGCTGGGCCTATTTATTTCCAAAGTGCATTTCATTTGAGGAGCACTAATCTCACAAGCAGATGAAATGCAGTCGGCTTTTAAAAAATAGGGAAAAAAAAGTTTGCATCGTGCTTTGTGTTTCAGAGTTTGAGATTTGAATGCCAGACAAGCTCCACTATTCTAGTCACTCCTATCAACCCTGAAGTGGAAGTCCTGCATGGAAAGCAGCCCTTTTAAGAAGCTGAGGTTTTGTAAGTACAGAAGCTGAGATGGGAGTGTAACAAAGGCTCTGTGTTGTGCTGTTGCACATCAGAGCCAAAAAACCCCTAAGGGGCACATCTCTAGTACCATGTCTAGTAGATTATGCATGCAACTCCAGTTGCCAGTAATGAGTTGTGTGGCTAATCTGTCATGTACAGCACTGCAACGCTCCCCTTCCCCCAAGGGGCTGAGCTCACCCGGCACTTTGCTTCCCCCCAGGGTGCTCCTGAGCACCTTTAGAACATCTCCTCGCTATTGGGACAGGAAAGCATTGTGTTCGACCCGGCTGCCCAGCCAGAAAACAGAAAAGCAAAAGCAAGAAAGCAAAGTTGTCTTTAACAACAACTCCAGCTGCAGCAGACAGGGCTGTTAGACCATGGTATGGTTAATATTCAGGGGATTTTACTTACCCACAGTGATATGCCATGAATTAATAAGAGGCATTAGAAATGGCTCTAGTGGAGCACAGAAAAGCCTGTCCCTTGTTTTATTTTCTCACTGATTTCATGATCCAAGTGTTTTCAATTTACAACTCAAATGCTTAATTACAAAAAATTTGCCAGCAAGACAAAGTCCTCTTGAAATATGAAAACTCAAGTTGTGCTCCGTCTCTGAGACTGTCACACGCACATTCTGTCACACATCAGCTTTTGCTGTAATTGAAGCAGAGTCTACATTGTGGGGCTGTAGCTGTATCAGATCTGTGAGGGTAATCGTTACCTGTTCAGTCAAAAAAAGAAAAAAAATTATTTGCCCAAATACCCACCTAGCAAATGAGTAGAAAAAAGCTTTTTAAAAGAGCTGGTTTACCTCAGTCTTCAGAAGTCTGAATTTCCGATGGTGTTCCTCAGGTGAATTTTATCAAAAGCATGAGTCCATAAAGGTGAATTATTTAGTCAGCTGTTAATATTGATACTAACAGATGTATTAAAATTGTTAATAATAGCAGTGGTATGCCCATGTAATGATAGGACTTCAGTAATGGAGACTTTTAAGAAAAAAATATAAATACGAGGAGATTTAGAATTAAAATCCCTAGAGTTAGTTATTTTTCTACAAATTCACAGTGCCTCGGCCTGTGTGTTCATGGCCCATGTCAGGTGCAGGCTCCGCACGTGGGGTTGGTCACCCAACAGGCCTGCCACGCTCTTTGCTGCGTACTCAGTCTTTCTTCTGCTCAGTCCCAGCAGCCGGTGGCTCTCTAGCACAAGGCTGGGAAGTGCCATCAGCTTCATTTTCCCAGCTGCTGCCTAAGAGGAGCAGATTTTCCCAAGCCTGCAGCATAATGAGAGGTTTCAGTTATTCTTCTGCCAGTCTTGCAATAGTCTGGGATTGGACTCCCACTAGACTGGGTGTTGTACATATTTTAGAAGAACAATCCATGCCCCTAGCAACATACATTTTTCCTATGTAGACGGATGGATGCAGCAAACAAACAGACAGAGCAGAAGGTGGTAGTGAGCATAAAACGGTCAGACGATGGAGGAGGAGGGAAGCCAGGTCTGTACAAGGGCTGGGCAGGCTTCACAGCTGGAGAAGGTTGTCTAGAGCAGCAGAGAATCAAGTTGTCTTGCATAGAGGAAAGGTGAAAACTGGACCAGATGCTGTGGAAGTATGGGGTAGATACCAAGAGAACACAAAGCCCAAAGCACTAGTCTCAGGTTTGACTGAAAATAGCTCCTTCCTTGCAAGAGCAGATGAGAAGAATACCAGTAAAGACTCCAATTAGTAAGAATGTCAGGAAGGATGGGGCAGAGTGTTTGGAGAATGATGTGTTTTGTCTCTTTCCCTCACAATGACATGTTTTGAAAGCTGATTTAAAACAAACCCTGAGAGTTTTTAATGATGGAGGAGATCCTTTATTCTTTTTCGGACAGGGTGATAGGAGAAGGGGATGATGAGATGTGTGATGTATACTGATAACAGCTCACAGGGAAGAGACATCCAGGACCCAAAAGACTGGCCATGCCAGGCATATTTTTATCAGTAGGTTATTTGAATATTTACATTTTCAAGGAAGAGTCTTCTTTCATTGCTCTGCACACCAGGGACTTCTTGGCCAGTCTAAACAGTAAAGGCTTCTAATGTAAATAATTACTCTGCTGCCTTGTGTCATGCATGAGGATTAGAGGTGCGAAGTCCCTCAAAG